AAGTAAAGGAAAGATTCGTCGTGCTCTCCTCATTTTTTTTTTTCTTGATGCAACCAGGAGGGTTGAATTTTGTTTATCACGATTTTTAAAAGAGAATACGATATATACGTACACACATATATATATATACATACATATACACGTACATGAGGTATACCGTAGGAAAAAGAAATCTACGGAGTTTTCCGTATCGGGGCATATCGAAATATATTTTTATAGTCTCTTTGATCGAAAATGGGATAAAAAGGAGTGGAAAGGAAAACGATTTAAAGAATGCAAGGATTAAAGATTAAAGATTATCTTAATTTTTTTTTTCACTCTCTTTTTCTTCTTCCTTTCTTTCTTTCGTTTTTTTTTTTTTTTTTTTTTTTTTTTTTTATTTATCTATTTCAAAGAGAAAAAACATCGACGAGCGTTCTTTTTGAATTTGTAAATTTATCAATCGTATGATGACTCGTTAAATGAAAGTTAGAACATTCTCAGGAATTTCTACGAGGGACGCGTAATGTAACTGAAATTATAAGTCCACGCGAGTTACACGCGAGGTATATCGGCTTGGTTCTTGTACGTCGGCGTATATCTATAATTTAATCGGTAATCCTTGTGCCTGAAAAAGAGAGAGAGAGAGAAAGGGAGAGAGAGAGAGAGAGAGAGAGAGATTTAGAAACTCTTGAGAACGTAGGAGAACATAGTGCACTTAACGACATTCGAGAACTCCTTTACGGCGAAGCAAGCAAGGGGGCGTAAACTTTTGACCTGTTATGCTTATCGAAGCATATCTGATACTGTCCACCACATAGTCGTGTGCTTCTCAGCACTCGTACTTTGGCTTTCCATCGAACCCAACGCTCACGCCCAGTTCCTGTTCGTCCTTCTTCCTTCTCCTCCTCCTCCTCCTCCTCCCCCCCTTCTTCTTCTTCGCATCCTCCTACTCCTCTTCCTTTTCATAACTGTTCAAAAAGAAGGAAGAAATTCGACTCGATTCAGATCGCGTATCTTTTGTTGTTGAAAGTAAAAATAATAATAATTATAAAGATACAATCGAGAAGGAGAAGCCGATTCCTTTGATTAAAGTCGAATCACTTCCTGGTTTATGGTGAATACACGCTATAAAAAATGTTTTGGAAAGTCAAATAGTAGGCTCGGACCGTCTTAAAAAACGATGCAATTCTCCTTAAATTTTTAATTCGTACCGTGAGAAGATTTGTTTAAGTAACGCGTGTATATATACGTACATATATATATATATACAAGTATACATAGATATCGATGTTTTTAACCCTCTGCGGTTCCAACATATAAAACCTTCGTTACAATCAAGGGTGACTATCTTTTACCCGCATGGACGTGCCTTTCTCGATACGCTCTTAGTAATAATAATACACCCAGAGAACCTTTCGATTTTTATCGAAGTGGAACGAGGAAGACGCGTACGCTTACGTCTACCATGTGGTTTCTGTATAATCGTGTCCGAAAATATTCGACTGAAAAATCTTCTCGATTTATCGATATTCGGTACTAACGAGTATACATAATCGATTGGGTATATATATAACGTATATACGGGTGAGATATATATATATATATATACATATATAAAGCTTGTTATAGAGAATCACCATTTAAGATCGATAAAATCAGGACGATATCGTTGATGGCCCTTTGACGATAAAACCAATGACGAAAACGGAGAAGAGAAGGGTGACAGAAAAGAAAGAAGAAACAAACAAAAAAAAAAAATAAAGGAAAAGAAAGAGAAAGAAAAAAGTCCTTGTATCACGGAGGCAAAACGAAGGGAGAAAAGAACAAGGGACAACGGAGATAGAAGGAACACAAGTAAATAAGTAAGTATGTATGTATGTATTTATGTATATATGTATGTATGACGAAGGTGGTCGGATCGAGAGCAGACAATTTAATTGTTCGAACTTAAATGGAGAACAGCTGCCTTTTCTCCCGCCTAACAAGCCGATAATAACCCGCTTCTAAGGTCTTCTCATCTTCTTTCCCGATCTATCTTTTTCTTCTATAACGAAAGAGAGAGAGAGAGAGAGAGAGAGAGAGAGAAAGAAGTTTGACCATGACGCCCATAACATCGATGTTACCTTGGATTTATAAACGAGGGCCTATCCGTGAAACAGCAGGTGCTTCCGTTGCTTCGGACATCGAACGAAATAAGGATGAGAAGAAAGCATAAGTGCGCGTGCGTGCAAGAAAGAGAAAGAGAGAACAATAAAAATAGAAAAAAGAAATAGAATCATTCTCTTCCTCTCGTCCTAATTCCATCTTAATCGGGGGCTCGGTTCGTCTTTTTCTTTTTTTTTCCTTCCTCTTTTTTTTTCCTTCCTTTTTTTATTCTCGTGCCACGCCAAGGGGTAGGGCTCAATTTCCGACGGAGAGAGAGAGAGAGAGAGAGAGAGAGAGAGAGAGAGAGAGAGAGAGAGAGAGAGAGAGAGAAAGAAAGAAAGAAAAAAAGAAGCTCGTGCCATGTTAAATATCAACGTTTGATGGGCTTTATAAGGGTGCCTATCATTATTAAATTTCTATATAGTACGAAACTAAGCCTAATCATTATTGCGAATAACATTTCGGACGAAATCCAATCGTGTTTTTTCGTCGTTCGCATTTCAATGCGATTAGATGAAATTAAATGGCAACCGGCGAGCGATAACCAGCAACTAGCAATCGGGTTCTTCAATAGATATATATATGTATATATACATATACTTATATACATACCTGTGTATATATACATCTATAGATATATCTATAGGTATATAAAAGTTAGCAAGGTCGTAAAAAACTAGTATTCTCGAAAGGAAATCTTTCTCTCTCTCTCTCTCTCTCTCTCTCTCTCTCTCTCTCTCTCTCTCTGTCTCTGGGCAATTCTTCTCATAGTTTCTCAGTATCGCGAACGCACTGAGAAACGACGAAGGTTTTAAAAGCCTTCGACTCGGAATACATCGTCGGAGGATTCTCCTCTATCATAGTAAAAGCAAGACAGAGCGCGACACGATAAAGCAAGAAACAAAGTGTAGAATGATCAGGAAAAAGAGAGAGAGAGAGAGAGAGAGAGAGAGAGAGAAAAAGAGGGAAACAAAAAGAGATAAAGAGAAAGAGAAATAGAACGATCTAGTCGATAGATAAGAGGAGCTTGACTAGAACGAATTCGCGTATAGAGTACAAAGGGTATCCCTTTGTGCTTCCTTTACTAGCGAATTGCATTAAAACTTATGTTCTCTTAAAGAAAGAAAAAAGTGGTAGTGGTGGTGGTGGTGGTAGGAGGCGGTTGAACGGGGACGGGGGAGCGAGGGAGGTATGAAAGAAAGAAATAGAACGAATGAAAAATAATCAGTCATAGAAAACGAAGACAAGAGAGATCGGAATAGAAAGAGAGAGATAGAGAGAGAGAGAGAGAGAAAGAGTGGAGTAGGTTAGAAGCCTTAACAATTTGATATTCGATCGATAACGTCCTGATATCGGTCAGGGACATTTTACGAGGAATCCCTATGTGTTGAAAACTGAAAAAAAAAAAGAAAAAAAATAGAGAGGAAAAGAAAGAGTGGGAGAGAGAGAGAGAGAGAGGGGGAGAGAGAGAGAGAGAGAAATAGTAAAACTCATTTGTGTCTACTTTATACTCTACGCTTGACACGAAATAGAAGAGAACTAGCCAAACTTCACTTTTCTTTTCCAAACCTTTGAAAATCGCAAAAAGCCTTCTATATTTATTTTTTTCTTTTTTTATTTTCCCTCTTTCTCTTTCTCTTTCTATCGTGCTCTATTTAACATAGAACTGCTACGGGATATTTTAACTTCTTCCTTATCTAAAGACCGTTCGAAAATCGACGAAAGGCATCACATCTCGTTTCACTATGTCTCCTCTTTCTCTCTCTCTCTCTCTCTCTCTCTCTCTCTTTCTCTCTTTGTCTCTACCTCTCTCTTTCTCCCTTTCTTTCGTTTTCTCGTCGAGAGGAGGTAGTTCTTTTCGTTCTTTGATATTCTTCGAGGCTTTTTCGTCGTTGAAATTAATGAAAATGAAGCGGAACGCGAATAAAGCGCAGTTTGTATGATCTCTTTTGTTTCGTAGAACGTGTGTGTGTGTGTGTGTGTAAGAGAGATAGCTCTTTTTACTAATACGAGAAATATGATAAATGTCAAACGACCATAAAAATATACATCTTTTGAAGGACGTAAAGGTCGTTAAAAATCAAAGTGAAATCTCTTTAAATAATAGAATAGATAATATAATCTTAAATAATAGAATAAATAATAGAATTGATATAGGATAACTTATACGGTTTTCGAAGATATTACAATATTTCTTGTAAATATATTTTTAATAGTTTTGACGAGAATAATAGATGAAATATTATATCGTAATAGGAAAACTGAAGAATCTCATAGTTCCCTCTTACATATCTCGTTGCGCAGGCAACGAGAGTCACTCTTGAAAGGATCAATATCTTGAAAAATCCTTATCGTACTTACTTCGTTTACACGAGTAATAAGCCACTCGAGAATTTCATGTAGTTTTTCTCCTAAGGGTTATATGTGGATCATCGAAAAATAATGTACATACTTATATACAAATATTTACTCATATTCAACATATATATATATATATATATATATATATATATGTAGGTATATACTCGACTAAAAGAGAAGATACAGAAACGATGGACATGCCCTTGCATACATACATACATACATACATACATACATACATATATATATATATATATATATATATATATATGTATATATAAAATATATCTATATATAATAATGTACTGGAAGAGATCGTTTTCTCGGGGCGCAGCATTAATAGTACTTATCTTCCGCACGGTACACCACGTGGTAATTATCGTCCAATCTTGGTCGAAGGACCACCAGCCTTTCACGATATAATTCTTCTGAGTTTGCTACTTAAAAGCGTGCGTCTCTTCTTTCCTTTCTCTCTCTTTTTCTCTCTCTCTCTCTCTCTCTCTCTCTCTCTCTCTCTCTCTTTCATCCTCCTTCGAAAAGGCGCGTATACCGTACGGGATTTAAATTTAATTTAGCGTTTTCACGTTCCGTCACGATAACGAGCACTTGACAGCCGATTATAATAATTATCGTAGGAAAAAAGGGATACATATTCCTCGTTGCTATCCCGTACGAACTATGGTGATTTGTGAAAGGAGTCGTAAACTCGTGATCTCGATTAACCCGTCAACTCGGTCCAGACTTTCATCCCTTTTTTCTTCTCTCTCTCCCTCTCTCTCTCTCTCTCTCTCTTCATTTTCTTTTTTATTCCGTGGTTATAACGTTCGATACAAAATGTGTACGATGTTCGTCGATAGTTCGATCGTAAATTTTTGCCATGATCCCTTGCAGCCGACCGTGAAAACTACTCTGTCCTAACCACCTTGACTAGCTGTAAAT